AGCTCCCGCTCGGAGAGCTGTCATGGGTACACCCAGTGCCCGGCTGCAGGCGATTGGCACTGGTTGGTAGCTGCGAGTCATGGATGGGCATCGAGTAGGCATGGCGCTGGGGGACAGCGTCTCGGTTTATTTCTCGTAATAAGCAGCAGGAAGCACGGAACCCTCGTCCTGTCGCTCCCTGTTTATGTGATCGGCGAATGAATCTGCTACTGGCAAAATAGCTACACTATGGCTGTCGGGAAATGTTCTTTGCAAGACGTCTGTCGCACTGAACGAAGTTATATGACGTCAGCATGCGGCCGGGTGGCTTGAATATCTTTGAAAAGCAGAGCAGTGACATTTTGTTTTGCCGAAGTTGTATCATCAAAACACTGATGCAACGAAGCTCACGCTGTCGAAACGCCCGGCCCGTTCGTTATACGGGGAAGTGTGACCGTCCTGGATTGACCCCTGGGTTCAGATCAGAGCTAACTAAGTATTGGGGTTCAGAATAACCAAATGGTCAATCGAATAATCAGATGAGGGAAAGGTGGACAACCTATGTTGCAAACACTAATTAGCAGGGATACTGCAGCGTTAAATTTGAAGGGCTTACAATATGAAATGTTTTGTGATGTGCAGTAGGAAACACCGCAGTTATCTATGCACGTACTCGAGAACGAAAAAGGCGCCGGGCTCGGTTCCACAAGTTGTGTTATCCGTCCATCCGCCGGGCGCCCCCCTCCCCTCCCACCCCCCCCCCCCCCCAAGTTTATCCGGTAATCCCATCGTGACGTCACCACAGGCTCCTTGGCAAGGCACAGCATTGCAAGCCCATGGGAAAGAATCTTCTCCAGATACAGTCATTAAGCAAATTCTGGAGGTATAGACGGCCGAATCACAGGTGTGGCATCTCAGGTACATGAGCAGGACTTTAAATCCGAAAAGGCCATTTCGGTGCTTCTTTTTATCGACTTCAGATGACGGTCATGACTGCTGATATGCTCGTGTAAGATGACTACGTCTCTCGACAACATCGAATAACACTTCGATATGGACCCCCTTTACTCTGTACCTTGTCTGGCCAATATGACAGGCCAGTTGTTATAGTAATATGAGATGCTGTCGGTTGTCGGGAAACGGCAGGGAGTGTCGCCACCCTTGTCTTACATTCAAAAAGGATGCGTGGAAAAACTAATCGTCATGTTACTTTGACGGCTCCATATAACATGTTACGCCGCTATACTCCTCGCGCTTGATCGCAGCCTGCGAGGCTCATAGCGCGCCGACATTAGGAGCAGATGGGTGGAAGATGAACTCTGGTCCCAAAGGTGACACATTCCGCCTGTATGTGAGTTGTAGGTCATATGCAAAGATTGACCCTGAGAAATATAATCGTCCCGGTGCATATGTGTATCATTTCGATGCATACGCTAATGCCTTGGGTGCATATGCTAACAATGCCGTTGCATATGCTGATGATTTCGGTGCACATGCTAATAATTTTGGTGCATATATGTATGATGTAGCGGATGGATGCATATGCAAAATAATGAAAATACGATGCAGACATGCAGCGCGAAACCAAGAATAATATATTTCCAAAATGCAGAGGTCCAGGTCAACTGCGTCCAGGCCAACTGGTAGTCTCACGATGCAGTTAGGAAGACGTCTTGTCTACGCACCAAAACTGGGCGTCCGAGGAACGCGCTCATCAGCTTCAGGAATCGTGCCGGGGCCTGGAACCTAATCATACTCCCTCTCCCCTTCCAACAAGTGGCACGACGAGAAGTTAGCTCGCTCAGTGGCACAATCGGTCAAATGCGTTTACATGAACTACTCAGTGACGGTGCTTCTATTAAGCCTTTTGGACGCTACCGAGCCCAATTTTGGAGCTCACTTCAGCAATTTTTTGAAGTAATTTCTCGATTATAGATGGTGATACAACAGGTTTTTATGACACATTTTTAACACGTTAAATAACCTGAATTAGTCTGTACCTATAAACACCGATACAATCCTCGAACTTTGTGCTGAGTTTTTCATGGCATCAATATATACATATGTATATATATATATATATATATATATATATATATATATATCATAGCCATGTGCAACAGAATGCTTCGTACGCTAACCATGGCTCATGGAATATCGAACAGGCGCGTTATGTCTCCAGGCGCGAGACAATGCGGTGCTGTGCATCCTGTCGGATTTTTGTGAAACACGGTATTAGGGCGATGACCAGCGCATTCTCGTTTAACTGTGCAACACGGCATACTATTGCGCAGTATCTTTTCAGCAATATTTTTCAGAAAAATAGCATGTTACTGCGTCTTAAACTGAATTCCACAGAATTTCAGCGTGCGAAACTTGTGGAGACTCGCAACCATGGCGGCAACAACACTGAATTTTGTGCAAGTATCAAATTCAGCCCTACTGCAATGTTTTGCTTACCACAGAAGCATCTTCTAAGTCGCTCCGGTTTACTTTGGTCATATACCTCAATAGCAAATTTCAGTCAATGCCTCGCAGCACAATATATTTACCTATTGATGCTATGACATTCATTTTTTCATGAGAGGTCATGATATTAAAAAGGCTGCATTAGCCCAGCGATCTAGCCTGTGAGCCGCCTTTTCTAGAAAGAATCTAGTACCCCATTAGGATGAGGCGTGCGTGTTGTCTGCCCTGCCTTGCATTTGTCTGAATTGCTAATCGGTTATTTGTGTCAAAATCCGATCATTTAAATGTGTATACCCTAATAGAAACATAAAACTGGATGCTTGGCTATGTTGAGATAGCCATTACGGCCCGGTTTATTATTGATTGCTTCAGTGGCAACGGCCAGCGGGACCCTGAGCTAGGGCTGGATAGAGATCGCTTTCGAAAGCTGGGGCATTCAGGACCCAGAGGCCCGAGGCGGTGAGAAGGCCCTCAGTTTAGCATAAAAAAGCCAACATCTTCCCACCCCGAATTTAAGACAACTTATGTTTTGGGCAAATTTGTTACCATTTGATCACGATATTTAAAAAAAAACGAATAACTCTCGTTGCGAAGAACTCTGATGGAGACCAGAGTGTAGAACCATCCAACTTGCAAACAAAGAAAGCTTGATGAGTATTTCTTGATTTCACGAAACGAAATCCGCACCCAAATTTCTGTCTCGAGTATGCTGTGCAGTCAAACGTAAATACTCTTTTGAGCAGCACTGTTTACCAGCATTTGTTTGCGCCCAAGGTGTACGGAAG